CCAGGGTCAATGTCTTTTAGGATGTCTCACCATATGGTCTGTCCAAAGTTCAAATATTTCAGCCAAGAAGCCTGAAAGTATTGAGAATTCCTGCTTTTGATTGAGCTTTGACATCTTCCAGAATTACCTGCTAGAAGTATTTGGGAAACAAGGAGCTAGGAAGCCGAAAACCTGAAAGCTGTGCTGACATGAGATGTTCAGAATTTGGCCAGAAAGGGTGACAGTTATTATGACACTCTGTAAGCTAAGGGTTTTTACCTGTTTTCAAATAGGTCTATTTCCTGCTGCAGGAAATAAAAAAATATTTTTTTCACAAACTGAAATGCATATTTTTTAAATTTGGAGTTTGCCTTGGAATAAAACCCCTGACTGTTAGCCAGTTCTGTTTTGTGGTAATCAAAGGCAAAAGCTAAAGATTGTTACAAGGACCACCCATTTCCCATCAGAGAGAAATGTGCACTTACTTGACTGAAGGAAAGCAAAAATCAGTGTATCAGAAGTTTAGGCAGAGATCATCTTCTGCAATGAGACAGGAGCAATATTTATTTTCCAAGTAAATTAGTGCTTGAAGTGTAGTCTTGCAGATATAAATTGATGAAAAAGCCAGAAGTAATTTGGTCTTTCACTTACTGATAGAACAGATGGTTACAGTAAAGGTTGATTTTCAGAGTGCACTTTGAGCAGTGCAAGGCAAATGAGAGCAGCAAATCACTCCTCAGGGAAAAATGTGATGATTGTCAGTCCACTGCCAAAAAAGTTATTTCATGCCTACTACTGGTAGTATTGGACTCTTCTCCCCTGACATCTGGGCTCTCTGCAACATACTTCTAAGTTGTGCTTGACTTCCTGTTAAAGCCATATCCTGTTGCCAAGTCTGAATTTCAGACTTTTCTTTCATCTAGCATATCTCATATAAATCAATGAAACAAAGTGTATCTTCACTTGAGATAATAACCTTGCATCAAAAGAATAAAAGTCTACTTCAGCAACAGGCTTCTTTTGTTTCTTTCTCCAAAAGACTAACTAAAAGCTGCAAAAGCCCTGTGTTTTATTGTGCTTAATGAATACTTGATTGCATTTGGCTATAAGAGCAATCAAAGGCAAAGAAAATGTTACTCTGTTCCTCCAATATTTTATTTCTTGTCAAACTGTTCTACTTTTTACCTTGGGATTTCAAATGGCAGCTTGTCACTCTAGTGAGTATTTTGGTTTGTGCAAAATGAGCTGATAGTCCATTTTTGATAAAAAATGTCAAAAGCACTTCTGCTATTTAGGAAGACGTAATGCATTATTTTCAAGAATCACTAGGACTCCAAGCTTCAGTGAAAGCTGGTAAAGCCAGAAAGCCAGTAAACACAGGGCTTCTCAGTGCAGGTCAGTTATTTTGATGTGTACATGATGATGGGATTAGACAGCATGCTGAGTTTCCAAGTACGTTGCTGATATTTCATACGCAGTTTAAAGGCTTGTGTAGGTAGATTGTGCAGAGTAGCTACTGTGCTTTACCTTCATTCCAAATTTGCTGAGCGCTGGCTTTCCCGTGACATCAACATGTAAGGCTCTTAAGTCACTTTTGAAGTAACACTTATGTTTTTAAGGAAGAATGACCTAAATGATTTAAGTATCTGATACACAAATATGAAGATGCTTAAAAGTACTATTCTAGGTGTTGGCTAGCATTCCTCTTGGCATCCTGAGAAGACAAGCAGACTGTACCCTATCATTCTTAGGCATAAGTGGAGCAACTTCCTCTGACAAGGGTTGGAGCTTTTCATACTTGAAACTTGCTGTGAAGGGGAAACTACATAAATAAAAACATGGTTCTTCAAGGACTTCACTGACATGTGAGACAGGAGTAATTCTTCTGCTCTCTTTGATCCCTTTTTTATGATATGAAATGGGACTGCTTGAGTGGTTACCTTTTCTGAGTGCTGACTCTACGAGCCTTGTAGAGATATTTTGGCTCATTCCCAGACCATCTTTTTTCTGAGCATGAGCTTCTCAGATACTAGTAGGTCCTCATTTCTGTGACATATTGAAAACAGTATGAGATCTTCTTCTAAATATCAAATGGTTTCTAGACTTGCAATGCCGATATGGAACCTGACGAGTGATAGTTAAGATAATTAATGAGTCCATGGCTCTTCTGTTCAGCATCCATTGACATTCAAGATTAATCTAGTCTTGTGCTGTGTCAACAGACCTTTGTCCCTCTCTCATGTGAAAATACGTAACAGGATACAACACTGTCGGATAGATCAATACTGATGAGTGATACCAAATGACTCCAACAACCATCTTTAGCAATGTTAAATACCAGGGAAATAGAGAGGTGTATAGAAGCAGAACAGAAAGAGGAGAAGACTCATTAGAAAAATAAAGATGCTAATTAAAATAATTTTATATCAGTGTGCAGGGGGAGTGACCAGATCTTAATGTCTTCCACCTGTTCTAGCTTCATTCTGACACTGACCTTTGGAAAACTTTTCACTGTGATTTGCTGTTGATATTCACATCACAATTTGTGGTGTTTTTAGAATCCAGTTGATTCTTATCCAGCAGAGGATGTGAACATGTGCTTAACATCACATTCATAAATAAGCTTGTTGATTTGGCTCAACATATGTGCTTAAATTTTTTGATGGATTGAGTTCCTAAAAGAATATGAGAGGCCTTTAATGAACTTAAATAAGTACTTTCAATGCCATCTCATTATTATTTGCTTTAAGCAAATAGTATTACCATTTTCCCCTTCCTTAAGATGAAGGTAAAGATCTTACTATTTCCAGCAGAAACTCTATTAGCCATTCCTTAGTAAAACTGTTACCATCTTTCATGGAAAATATATTTTTGTTACAGTGGAATTTTAGTCATTTATCCATCAAAAAACTATGGCTAACATTCTTACAATTCAAAAGGAATTGGTTTATGCACAGACATTCTGAAAGGAAAATTCATACTGTTTTGCCTTCTCTTTTTAAAAGCAAAATGGTAATTTGTTTGTTAAAGTATGCAATCTGAAGAGCATGCATATCTTTCTCCCTTTATTTTTCGGCACTCCCTTCTAGTACATGAAGGTTTGGTCTTCTGGTCTTGGAGCTTGGCATTTTTTTGCTATGGAATTGAATGCATATACAGAAGTCTTTGCAGGATTAAGGTCTTAGGATACATCCACTGTAGTTTCTGAACATATGGATTTGTAAGCATATATAGCATATATAGCCCTGCATGTTTTGCTATCAGCCCTTCACTGTATTTCAGTAATATCTATCTTCATTTCCTCTGCTAGTTTCTTTTGCATAAGGAACCTTACGCACTGTTTTTCTGTTTGACATGTGCAAAGGTCCTTAATAAAGCACCTTTTAAATGGTCCTGGATCTGGGAGCCTTTCCAGAAGCCTGAGTGCCCTAAGTACTGGTTAAGGGAATGCTTGCTTCATTCTGTTTAATCAGCTGCTTTCCTTATTAAGATTCAATTACTTGAATTAATTTTTTGTGTTTTAATTTAAGGATTTAATGGGATTAAGGACACTTTAGAACAATTAAGGCTAATACACAAATGGACATCCATTAAAAATCTCTTGTGCGTGATTCATGATTGTGGATGCCCCATCCCTGGCGGTGTACAAGGCCAGGCTGGATGAGGCTTTGAGCAACCTGGTCTAGTGGAGGGTGTCCCTGGCCATGGCAGGGGGGGGGGAACTCTAAGGTCCTTTCCAGCCCTAACAATTCTATGATTCTATGATTCCACGATCTTTCTTTTTAATGTCTAAATTTTAATATCTAAAGATCTTCAGTTTTTGGAGCTTTTTGGTGACCTTTCTGATTTTACCACAAGTTCCCATATTAGACCTGAGTTTCATCTTGTGGTGTTTCACCTGCCTCTTGGGTCTTTCCTCTTGTTTGCAAGAAAAAATGAAGAAAAAATTGCACCAAGAGTATTTGCACACAACCATTCATCTTGCTCTTCATGTGTAATGGAAGTCTTTAAACATAAATATAATATTCACATTCTACATAGTATTAAGCAAGTAAGCCAACCTGTTACTGTCACAGACAATATAAAATCTTGAACTCAGAACATCAGTTTCAGTGGTTTAGAGTGCTGAGCAAATAATTCCTCTGTCAAGATAGAGCAGGATTAGTTTGCTTGTTTCAACACCAGTCATCCAAATCACTTTCAGACAAGTCAATTTATTTTTTTATCAGCTAATTCAGTCCATACACACATCTAATTTATTTTGAAAATCGATTTTAGTCATAGATTAAGGGCAATGTCATGAAGTAAAGCTGCTTGTAATTATGGGAACTACTGAGTGTGTGTGTGAGCACAACCAGAAAATGAAGTTAAAAAAATGTGTCATTTATTAAAGACTTTTTGAGTTTTCTTAGTTCATAGGAGAGAACAGCAGTTCTTGGGATGACTTTTTTCCAAGATGGAAAATTAAATAAAACCTAATTATTTATTTTTGTTTTACTCATTCTCAGCTGCAGATTGCACATATTGTATATTTTTTAGGAGTTGTTTAATAACCTGTGTGGCAAGTCATGAAACATAAAATGCTTTAAAAGGCTTTTCTTACAGATAACCTGGTCTTGCAGCACTGCAGCATCTCAAACTTTAATGAGATGGCACAGAGTAGGTAAAGTTCAATAAATGAAGTTATAGCAAGAATAGTAATTCCTTCTTTCTTCTTTCTTTCTACTGAGTCTAATCTCTTGTGTACTGTAAACTCAAAGGGAGATTCTTGACATAAAGTGTGGGATTTAACTCGGTTAATTTTAAAAGTTAGGAATTTTGTCCAAACCAGTCATATGGGCTTTCTTTATAGGGATCAGTTAAGCATTTCCAGCAGGTAATTTGGATATCCTGTCCTCTCTTCATCAACTAGAGGGAAAGCTGAAAACTGCATCACGTACTTAACCCTTAGATGGTTAAAATAAAGCACAGTGAATCTTCCCATAAGAGAGTCTGGATTTACCTGACTGTAGCTGTCCAGCATGACCTGGAGTCTCTCAGATGAGCCCACAGGCCAAAGCCTACTCCTGGCACTGAACCCAGACCCCAAGCCTCCTCCTGGAGCTGAACGCTTTGAGGTAGCTGTAACACCATCACTAGTGAAAACAGGAAAGCTAATAGCAATTTTTCTCCCATTTCTTCAAGTGTTAAGATGCAGGAGCAAGGGTACAATGATGGCACAGCCCACTCCCATAACTGATGAGGGGCCTATTATTATACACTTGATTTTACTTCCTTTGCAGTGGCATTTAGAAATCTCTGTGGAAGGTCAGGGAGCACGTGGTCAGGCAGTACTAAGAAAACAGTCCTTGCCCTAAATAAATCATTATTCTACACTAGTGCAGCACTAGAAGTGCAACTGCACTTTCTGCTCCTTGTTCTGCAGGGTTCAGACACCAAAAGAACACAGAGAAGGTCAAGCATGAAGAGATACTATTGTTCTTACACCCTCACATATCCAAAGATAACAGCATACCTCTTCCTTCTTGGCCAAAATGTAGTACATGTCATAGAAATATACGTTTTTTCCATGAACCTTATGAAGAAATTTCCATGATACCAGATAACTCGTCAGTTTCTTTTACAAATTTTCCAAACTTTTTTTTTTTTTAATGCAATACCTCTACGTATAATTTACTGCCAGCAGACATACCACATGTGGATCTATAAATAATAAATCTCAAACTGTAGGTTTAAACTATGAAGTTCCTGGGGACACAAGTACTGCCTCTTTGGGTATCTGCCTTCAGATATTTGGGTATCTGTCTTCATGGGACTGTAAAGTCAGGAGGGCTTTCCCAAATCCAGTTATGAAGCAGAATTTAGCGCTCAGATTAAATATGACATTAGATACGACAAATAGGTATGTGTGAAGCTGAAGACAGCTCCTGAGTTCAGCAGTTTTCTGTTTTATGAAAGATGGGGCATCCACAACTTTTCTGGGCAACCTGTTCAAGTGTCTCACCACCCTCACAGTAAAGAATTTCTTCCTCATAGCTAGTCTAAATCTCACCTCTTCCAATTTAAATCCATTGCCCCTCGTCCTGTCACTTCATGCCCTTGTAAAAAGTCCCTCCCCGTCTCTCCTGTAGGCCCCCTTTAAGAACTGGAAGGCCGCTATAAGGCCGCCCCAGAGCCTTCTCTTCTCCAGGGTCAACAACCCCAACTCTCTCAGCCTGGCCTCATAGGGGAGGTGCTCCAGCCCTCTGGTCTTCTTTGTGGACCTCCTCTGGACCTGCTCCAACAGCTCAACATCCTTCTTCTAATTGTAAGCATTGTTAGACATTGGAAAAGATTTGCTAAAATAAATTATCAGGTCTTAATTAGAATCATGGAATCGTAGAATGGTTTGGCTTGGAAAGGACCTTTAAAGGTCCAACACACCTACAGTGAGCAGGGACATCTCAAAGGGTTGCTCAGAGCCCTCTCCAACCTGGCCTTGAATGTTTCCAGGGATCTACCACCTCTCTGAGGAACCCTTTCCAGTGTTTCACCACCCTAATTGTAAGCAATTTCTTCCTTATATCTACTCTGAACCTACCGTCTTTTAGTTTAAAACCATTACCCCTTGTCCTATCACTACAAGCCCTGATAAAAGGTCTGTGCCCATCTTTCTTTATAAGTACAGAAAGTCTGCAATGAGGTCTCCCTGGAGCCTTCTCTTCTCCAGGCTGAAAAAACCCAACTCGCTCAGCCTGTCTTCATAGGAGAGGTGCTCCATCCCTCTGATCATTTTTGTGGCCCTCCTCTGAACCTGTTCCAACAGGTCCATGTCTTTCCTGTGCTGAGGACCACAGAGCTGGATGCAGTACTCCAGGTGGGGTCTCACCAGAACAGAATAGAGGAGCAACCTTTATTGGAGGGTTTTTAGAATCAGTCAAAAAGACACCTTTTGAGATGATTCGATGTGGCAGATTTGGTAGGATCTACCAAGACCAGGTAGGGAGGAATATCAGGTAAACAGTCAGCCTTTTTAGTGATTTTTGCAATAAATAAAAAAAGAAAAAGCAGCACATTTCCTGTATTTAAAAGGATTAAAATTCATGTATTCAGGAAAATAAAAAATAAAAAAAATGAAGACATTTTTGCCCTGGATATTAGGAGTACATACGTCTTGTGTCAAGTCTTGGGCAGGCTGGGATGACCCAGACATGAAAACTCTAGATAATGAGAAATTTGACAAAAGCCTGTTGTCACAGTGGGGGTAACACCAAACCAGGAAAACACAACCGATAAGCAATCTTCTGAACAACTAATACAATAATTCAGATATTAAAACACAGAGTATTTTTTTAGAGAACATGTTTTCTAACATTGTTTAACAGGGCTGGATGGGAAAGAAGTTGGGAAGAGTGAAGAAGTCGAGTTCTGTGTGTGTACGTTCACGTGCAGCTGAGCGCTGCTCACCCTTTCCTGGATGGTACAAATTTCCAACACTTTTACTTAAGCAATACAACAGGAGTGTATATGGGCTGGAAAAGCCTCTTTGTCTCTACATTCTTACAGTAGTGTTTACCATGCAAAATTAAGTCATTCAAAAGCTAGTGCACTTTTAAAAAAGTAGGTTTTTATGGAAAAGTTGGACATTTCCTGAATTAAAGATACACAGAGTTAGGATGCACTGAATAAGCCTTTTTATTCTGCCTTTCTTTTCCCCCTTCTGATGACATTTCTTGAGATGACTTGAAAATGACTGCCTCAGGTGTTTTCTGATTGTTATTTTCAGACATCTTCTTGGTATCTTTTTTTTTTAATGTGTTGGATATTTGATATGATCTCTTACAGGCTTGTTCAGGGACATAAAGGTGTACTAATATAATTTTGTAGCTCATCTGCAAGTAGTGCAGATGGCTTTCAGATATATCTATCTTACTTAGGCAGTGGTTCTTTCAGATGGTTCAGTTAATAAGACAACTTTTTTCCAAGCAGAAGGTGAAAGCTTATACCCCTGCTCTTACTCCACCCTTTGCACCAGCACGGGTCTTCATCGGTGAATAAATTTGCCTTACTAAGCTGGCAGAAATCTAACCCAGAAAGCTGTAAGTTAGTAGATTTCCACCCTCTTTAGCTAGCAGCTGCCTAAGAAGTCAGACAAGCATGAGAGGTGTTACAGAAATGCCTAGAGGGTGAATGACTCTGCCCAGCTGAAGAGTATCACTTGAGAAAGGGGTGACAGGGCCACCTTCCAGCAGCATTGGTTCTTATACGGGATTCAGCCATGTAGAGTTTTTCTTGATCTTTGCAAAGGCTTCCTAATACATTTTAGCACTGCTGAAAAGTCTGAATCTTGTTTGCAGAATTCACTGAAGAATGCTTCAAATAATCAGAATTAGATTATAGCTTTTGGTCCAAATAAAAATATAAATAACAAGAAATTTATGAAGAAAATAGGGCAGTAAAGATGTTTGAGAGGTCATAAATTCCATTCTCATGTCTAAAGCAGGACTCGAACTGATGAAATGTGCTTTTCTTCTCATCCACAGTTTATCTAACACATCCATTTCCTTCTTCCTTTCCCTAGGTTTACTTCTGCCCTTTTCTTGTAGGTTCAACTTCAGTCAACCTATCTTTTTCCTTGTACTCTCAGTCTGCCCTTCCTCACTCTCTGAGCTTAGTCACACAGGCATGGTACTTCACTTAGTGTGAACATTTCCTGCTGGTCTTTTCACAAACCCTGTCTCTTCCCTTTTCTCCCCCATGCTGTTTACATGTCAGCGGTCGACACTAGCTTACAACTGAGAATGAAAAGTTTATTGGTTGCCACACCTGACATGCAGTCTGCGCACCTTTCTCTGCTCAGCCAGACATCTGAAACCAGATTCATAACAGATTGCAGCAGAAGTGCTATTATAAAGCATATTTGATATGTGTGAGAAACAGACATTCACTCAGTATAATTAAAAGTGCTGGCAGTATTAAAAATGCCTAAGTGGTCTGTAACATCATTTGAGTCTTGAGGTGGAAAGAGTCAGCTGCATATGATATGGCTATTTGCTGCTAGAGGCTGTTGTTATTCTGTATTCATATTTAAGAACTGCACAGAAACTGCCATCGTCATTTCAGGCTCTGAGCAAATACGTGATTCTTGCCTTTTCAATCTGAAATTACTCCTTCTTTTGATCTAGCAATATGTAGATTTTTACAGTGTTGTGCTTTAAACTATCAAAGAAAGCAGACCATTTTTCAAAAGCTCTGTCTTTTTTTTCTAGTTGCTCTTCTATGCTTCTTTGAAAGACTTCTCATTAAATGAATTACTTTTTAAAAATTATGTTGCCTGACTCTGTGTGTCGCAGTATAACAGTGTGTCCTGGTTTCGGACATAGCACAGTGCCTTCTGGACCTGCTCCTGTCTGCAAAGGAAACTGATTTTTTCCCCAAACTTGAACTGGAAAGGGAGCTTACTTTTTATCTGTAATCAGTTTGCTGCTAATGCTGGAAGCCAGTGTCTATCTATGAATATAGAACTATAGCTAACATAGAATATAGAACTATAGCTTCCATAGCTAACTATGGAAGGATTGTTTTATATCTATATAATTTTTTAACACTGGCATATTTTACATTCTTTAGTTATATAGATAGATACTTTCTTCTCTTTTAGGTTTTATAAAACCTGCCTAATTTAGTCTAAAATGTTTTATAACCAAAGGCAAGAATTTTAAGGGGATGAGTACCAAATCATAGTTTGATTTAAAGACATTCATCTGTTACATTGCCAGTTTATCTCTTGATCTGTGAAGATTTTTTAAATGTAGCATTACAAGACATGGAGTGGATTTTTATAGGCAGCACAGATACTATTGCATAATTTCCCCCCAGTGTTCCACCTTTGCTCCTGGTCTTTCTTTTACAGACCCCAAAGAGTAGTCTTGTACATTTGGAGGAGATAAAGAAGAAGGGAAAGCAGCAAGGGTGGGCAGAGCCTGTAACCTTTACAATAGCATCAGTAAATGGAGGATAAAGATTTTAAAAAATAGTTTGTTGTCAGGCCTGTTTGACATTTATTCACCTTTAAGTGCTTGACATTACAAACTTAATTTTTTTTTTGATGTGGAGCTTTTTTAAATTTTATTTTGGAGGAGAGGGAGTTAACATATACATATACCTAAGTGTGAAAGGAAGGACAGAAATAGATTCTGTAAACAATGTAATTCTCAGTTGTGATCTCCAACATTAGTTTTTCTTTGTCTGATGCAATAAAATTTCTTTACAAATGCATAGAACCATTGGAGCTGGCTAGGTTATAAGATAAGAAACACAATGTTTGGACAGTTGTTTTGCATCTGAACCTGTTCAATGAGAATTTGCTTGCCTCTGTGAAATAAGTTGGTCTCACTGCATTCCTAAAGGATGTATCTTCAGTTCATTATTATCTCCATCAAATAATTGATGATGTCAGTGGAGAAGGCAGAGAAGGTAGTTTTACAGAAACATAGTTTAAATTACTTTTGTTCTCAGAGGGCAGGAATGAAGCAGGAGTCAGTGAAGGAAGCCCAGCACTTCTGTTATCCATACTGCTCTGGTTTTGTTGATGCATATAAAACTTGGTTTTGCAGGGCTCACTATTTAGCCTTCACATTTTTAATATGGAAGGTGTGATGTAAATTCATCTTCAGTTTGCCTACTAATTAAAAAAATATTAATTTCAAACTCTTTTTCAGAGGAAGGAAACAAAGGTTATGGACCTGTTTTTGAGGAGCAACCCATTGATACCATCTACCCGGAAGAATCTTCAGATGGACAGGTTTCAATGAACTGCAGGGCTCGAGCAATTCCTTTTCCTACTTACAGGTAACTCTTGTTTTGATTTTCAGGCTTTGCATATTTTATTCAATGAGTGTTTCAGGTTGTGGTACTAAATGATTGCCTGTCTTAACTGATTGATACAAAGTCTTCAAGGCAAGAGAAAATTGAGAGATTTGCAATTTTTGAGTAAAAATCAACCTTGATTCAGACAGTGATGAAAGTAGTACATTCCTGTTGTGTTAAATGTTTTCAGTTTTTGAAAGGAATATTGATCCAGATGCAAAACCAAAAAATAGTGACCTTTAAAACTAATTAAGAGGCTATCTTTCTAGCTTAGGCTAAGGATGACTGAGGTTCAAGTCCTTGTTCTTCTTGATTCAAAAGAGCTTTTTTATCCTATTTTACTCCGAAAGAAGAAGGGCTGGCTGTTGAACCTGGATATTCTACATCCTATGTTGCTTTTGCATCCACCATGCAGAGAGACACTCATAAATGTGTCAGCTATGCTACTCGTGACATGGAAAGCACTCTTCTGGAAAGTGTTTCAACTAGTTTTAGTAGAGATTCACACATGACCTTTTTCACAATAATTATGTTGTTGTTAGCATGGCAATTCTGCTTCTCTGTGAGAATTCAGAGCATCCATATGAACTTGTCAGCTATTATCTGCTCATTATGTACAGGGAAGTGTGTTTAAGATTGTCACTGTTAAGACCATGACTAATTTACAACGTAGTCATGGGCAGAAAACTGCCGTCATCATACTAAAGTACAGAAGTAGTTTATTGGCAGCAAAAGGGATCCATTTCATTAAATTGTTCTATGATCCTGTGATCTGCCACTGACACTAACGTGTGTTCCTAGACTCTGACCTTTAAGACAGAAAAAGCAGTTGAGTCTGCTGGCCATTCTTTTTAATCTGTTACAATATTTTTGTCAGCTATGGTATTCTTCCATCAAAACAGCTAAACTAGTCTTCGTTGCCTTTTTAAAAAATACTCTTACAGGTTGTCTGCGTATACTGTCTACAAGACTATGTAGACATACCATCTATGGAGTGATTACAGGCTCTACATGAATTTTAGCATTATTCTTTATCTGTCATGGGCTATGCAAAATCTGAACTAGTAAAGTCATTCTGGAAGAATGCCTCTCACCTCCAGAGCTCTTCTATGTAGGAACAGATCTGACAATTACTGCTGATAGCTGATGTGGTGATAATTGCAATACAGAATAAGGCCACTTTCCTTATTTCCTGTCACCATTGTTTTAGTCTACCTTAACATATTGTCTTCATTTCTTAGCCCTCCAACAGTTCATGAGCCAAAATTCTCCTGTTTCAGAGGTAGATAAGTCCTTTTGTTTCTTCTGACCATTCACCTTCTAGTCTTCTTTAAGAAGTTCTTTACTTTCACTGTTTGTTAGGTATTCATCCACTCTTCCTTCTGTATTTGGTGGTTCTTCACCTTCACTAAAGTTCAAATACTCATTGCAGTTTCTGGGACTCTATTTTTTACCCCTGTCATTGCTGGAGCCTTCCGACACTGCTGTGAAAGGCAACATACTTTCATGGGGACAAGATATGAGTCCTTTAGTCCCCAGTCCTGTCTGCAAATCATGGACCTCAGATTACTGCACTGTTTCTCCTGAAATGACCTTTTATGCGAATACACACTGCTGATTGTGAGTGACCTTTTTCTGTAGTGCTCCTGCCATCTTTAGAGATTTCATAGGTCTCTTGGTGGTTCTAGCATTTCTAAGGTTTCTTCAAACACCTCTCTTTCTGTAGGCTCCCTTCAGATGTAGCCTCTTGGGTGTTTCCTAATGCACCTGTAGGTATCTTTATATGTATATTCCTGCAGTTTTACATCTGAGCTGGAAGAAACTCAAACCAGCCTTGGAGAAAGAGAAGGCAGAGAGATAACTACACATTTTACTAACATACCGTCCCAAGCTTCTAGGCAGTTCATAGGAAAAAAAACAAACAAATATTTTTTACCATCTCTAAAGAGATACATCTTTTAAATTCAGTGTGTCCAACTGGGTGTCATAAGGCATCTTACTTTTCATTCTCACGTGTGAGAAACACTATGCATGAAAGAGAAACACTCACCAGCTGAACCTGATGAGAAGTACCCATGTAAATGAAGTTACCCACAAATACAGCTTTTGTGGAGTGAAGGAGCTGCCATTTAAGAGGCAAGGTTTGAGCAAGAAGATCACATGACTGTCTTGGTTAAGGTTAATTTTTTATACTGCAGAGTAACCCTGTTTTACAAATGAACATAAATTAATACTGTACTCAGAGAATAAGTAATAAAAATATAATTCTTCTTTTTTTCTCTTTAATAAATTCTGAAAAAAAAACTATTTTTAATTCATACTCTTCACAGTTACACTTTTTGTGCAATGTTTTTCTGATCTTCTTCATTGCAGCAAAGCTGTCCTTTTGACAGTTATTCCTAGGTATTTCTGAACAGGGGATTTATTTGTGATACAGACATGTAATGTGTCTCAGGACTGTAAAAGCTAAATGGTATTTACTGCATCTTGAAAATCCTACCATTTCATTATTTATTTTTATTTTTTATTTATTTTTTTAAAACCACTTCTGTTTCTTTCTATGACAATTGCAATTTCAGCCTCTACATGAGTATTCTGTATGTTTCGGTACAGTGTTTCACTAAGGAAGGAACACATAGGGTATACACTCGCATTTTCAAACACTAGTGCCTATACTTACCTTGTGATAAAAAATTATTTACACTGCAAGAATATTACCATGTTTAAATGTATTTAAGTTGCATCTTTCCTATTTGTGCTCAGGAAATGTGTAATTCCTTTCAGAGAAGGTTATGGGCTCCCCCTTGTGGACACAGTAATAGATATAAACCTAAATGATGAATACTGCTTCCCACGCCTTGTGTTGTAATTTTGTTGAAATCAGTAGAAGTCAGTAAGGGCCAGACCTGATCCACTTAGTTCCTCTCGTAGTCCCTGAACTGAAAGTTACAGTGACTCAGAGGACTGCCTGTGGGGTTTTACAGTGATTCAGGTGGGAGTGTCCAGCAATTGTTTTAATGTAGTAAGTGTGCCTTTTCCACAGGCTTCACTAGCACTGGCTTTATGAAACATTTTCATCCCCTACAGCAAGTTTGCAAAAAGCTCTTAAAAATTTCATTAGTCCATACTTCAAAGGTGCAGAGGGAGTATAAGTTGGGTACTGAGCTGTTGGAGAGTAGTGTAGGGGAGAGGGACCTGGGGGTCCTTGTGGACAGCAGGATGACCATGAGCCAGCACTGTGCCCTCGTGGCCAAGAAGGCCAATGGCATCCTGGGGTGTATCAGAAGGGGGGTGGTCAGTAGGTCGAGAGAGGTTCTCCTCCCCCTCTACTCTGCCCTGGTGAGACCGCATCTGGAATATTGTGTCCAGTTCTGGGCCCCTCAGTTCAAGAGGGACAGGGAACTGCTGGAGAGAGTCCAGCGCAGAGCCACAAAGATGATTAAGGGAATGGAGCATCTCCCTTATGAGGAAAGGCTGAGGGAGCTGGGTCTCTTTAGCCTGGAAAAGAGGAGACTGAGGGGTGACCTAATCAATGTTTATAAATATGTAAAGGGTGAGTGTCAGGAGGATGGAGCCAGGCTCTTCTCTGACATCCAGTGATAGGACAAGGGGCAGTGGGTTCAAGCTGGAACATAGGAGGTTCCACTTGAATATGAGAAAAAACTTCTTCACGGTGAGGGTGACAGAGCACTGGAACAGGCTGCCCAGAGAGGTTGTGGAGTCTCCTTCTCTGGAGACATTCAAAGCCCGCCTGGATGCGTTCCTGTGTGATCTGGTCTAGGTGTTCCTGCTCCGGCAGGGGGATTGGACTAGATGATCTTTCGAGGTCCCTTCCAATCTCTAACATTCTGTGATTCTGTGATTTTCTTAGCTAGTTTTGCCTTAGATAACTATTTGAGAATATGTTTATAATCCCAGTGCTTGGTCACTAGCTAGTTCACTCACATCTGGCTCAACTATCCTGTACTGTATGGCCAACAATCAGGCTTTAACCTATGTCACATCTTCACAAGGCTGAAGCAGACTGAGACTGTTACATTTAAAAGACCAATAAAGTTTGTCAAATCTGTGGCTCTTGCTGCAGAAAACTTTAAAGCATATATAGAAGTATATTAATAGCTTCCTGTGTGTAGTTTATGGCAGCTTATGAAGTATTTTTCAAATCGTATTTCTTACTAGGTTTATTCTTCTGGGCCAAATCTTACATCTGGCTTTTCTTTTTTAATAGGTGGAAGCTCAACAACTGGGATATTGATTTAACAAAGGATCGCTACAGTATGGTGGGAGGCAGACTTGTTATCAATAATCCAGAGAAATCAAGGGATGCTGGAAAATATGTCTGTGTAGTGTCAAATATCTTTGGAACTGTCAGAAGCAGCGAAGCCACTCTGAGTTTTGGATGTAAGCTGATGTTTACGTCAAAATGTAGAAATGTTACTGTTAGCCTGAAATGCCCAATGTTTTACACTGTAGTGTCTTCTGCTAACATGTGCTATAGCTCTATTACTCAGTGAAAACAGTGTCTTAAGCGCTTTAGTCTGCAAAGATCAACACAAAATAAGTTTTGTAAGCATTTTATATTCTTTAGCATTTGGCTGACATGACAACCTTCTCAGTGAGTTATTGGTAAATTATTAATTGAAGAGACTTGTGGAGCCAGATCCTGAGATAATAATGTCCAGACTCTTTTTAAATCATGGTAGGACCTGAGGGGAAATAGTCACAGCATAGAGACTGTGAAAGTGGGGGCATATGGTGATGAGGCGCTGCTGCTGTGCAAACACAACTGGGATGCCTGCAGGACGAAGGCATGGCACTCGCTAGTAAAGCATGTTCCCTGGCTCATAGGCTGTGATGAAGACCCTGCTGGGGGACATCTCTGTCAGCTTTACACATTCATGAACTAGCTTTGGGAATGAATGCATATGCACAGACCTGCACTGTCAGCAATACATGCACTGTGAAAAACTGATGGACTACAGGAAGAGTAATGTAAAATTTTACTGACTGGAGACAGAGTTTGGGATTTTTATTTTATTTTGCCTTAAGGTGCTTTTTTCCCTGGATGTATTTTTTTCATCAGAGGACAAAAAAGGAATCCACAAAAAAAGGAATCCACTCTTACTGGTGACCGTTCACAAAGCCCTGTGTGCCCTTTAATCCTGACATTAAATGCTTAGTGGCCCTCATGTCTTTCTTTTCTTTACTGTATAAGATCAGAGAATAAATGAAAAGTTCTGCTTTCTGCTAGTAATTATAAGACTGTGGGATCAAATATATCAAGGAAACTGAGAGGCTACAATGAGCTGATGGATCACATCATAGTTGATTAGTCTTCATCTGTATTTTACCCAGTGTATTTTCTAGAATGAATAGAAGGTCAGGGTATTATTTCCTTCTAATGAAGATGACATCAAAATTCAGTTTATAGGATATTTATTTATACCTAAAACAGGCATCAGTGGTGCCAGTCCTGAATGACCAGTAGGATAAAAGCTGCAACAATAGCTGTAGCTACTTCAAATTAAACCAATACACATAATAGATGGAAAAAGCAGAATCAAAACAGTCTGAGGCATGTTTTCCTGCCTACCAGCTCACAGTCTGCATGAGCTGAATGTTGATAGTGTACTGGACAGTTATACTGAACAGAACCCTAACATATAATGCTTAAATTTTTAAATTATAACAGGGAATAGAAGTGAAGATAGCTGGAAACTGATAAATACTTGTTTTAAAAATGGTACTGTAATTCTTCTTTACACTGTTGTATTGCTTCCCATGTGAAACCACTGTCTTTAAGAGAGCTGGTCTTTTTAGATCCAGGGCTTTACAACCCATTAATATCTTTTTTAGCTGTTATACACGTACACCTGAAGGAAGGAATTCTACCCTGCAGGAATATTAGTGGCTTTTGGTGTGTGCTGAGCAAAATCAGAAGGTGATTATAGTGAACAGTGATATACTGTTCTATTTGCTAAGAAACAGTTTCAGAATAGTAAAACACAGCAATTTCATAGCAGAGAGGCTGAAAGAACGACAGAGACGTTTCCATGTTCTCTAGATATTAACTGTATGCACATAGGAGTGCAATGATTATGCTAATTCTTTCATTCTAGATAAAAATGAACAACTTCCAATTAAGAGTTCATGGAATCGCACTTACTATAATTATTGAGTAATAATCTAGCAGTGCTTACGCAAACAAGATATCAAGACCCAATCAGAGTATAGAGCATTTCGTAAGTGGGAATAAGGTATACAATTACATCTCAGTAATTGTATGACTTCTCTGCACCTGGCATAGACCATTCTGTTTCAGGACTAACATAATGTTTTACATATGCAAATTGGCTGTCCTATTCCATGTCTATAAATTTGCAGTGGCTGTCCCAAAGTTTCAATGGTTATTCAAGAATGCAATAAACAAGATGTCTAAACTTAAAATGTAAACTTAAAATAGCTAAAAAAACTTTAAAACAATGGTACCTTTTCCTTTCATCAAACCCTACACCATCCATATACAAAGCAGTATCAAATAAGCAACACATTTGTTGCTAATGATTGTAATTTTTAATTTTTTTCCTCTTTCTGCAAAAGATTTTAAACACTAAACTGTTCCAAAGAAAGCAGAAATGAATAATACTGGCAAGTTTACAAGATGATCAGAAGGTCTACAAGAAGGAAATTGATGTTTGCGGGAGAGTTCGGTCAATATTTTGAAGACAGAAAGTAGTTATGTAGTAAGGTCCATGCTGGCAAATGGAATGGGAATGTACTCAAACTACTGCTGATGTTGTGTGATTACAGGTATTCCACTCTGTGTGAAGAGCCTCCTTGGCTTCAGTTACAAAACCTGTCTGGTCAAATGGCTAATTCTTACTAAGTCAGTCTGGTATACTTAATTTCTTTTTTTCAAAGAATAATATACAAAATTAATTGGGAACTAGTTGTGGAGAACTGAATACATTAATTGCACTAAGGCACAGGGTAAAATTATAAAAACTAATAATCACAAGTCCTTAGAATGGCCTGATACAACACCTACCATTTGGGCATTGATCCAGTCAAGATCCAGTCAGTCACTGTAAGGATCTGTATTATCTTCTGGTCTGTTTGAGCAGAATAAACATTAGTATTTCAGAAGCTGGGAGAGGGGTCTTTCCCTGGACACTGACATAACTCTCCTAGAGTTTTTTTCATGCATTTGAAAAAAGGTCATGACATTTGCTTCCTAGGTTCTTGTAGCCATTCAGGTCTGACAGCTGTGGTTGGCCTTGGAGGAATCCTTTACCTGTACCGTATTTAGTAAACGTAGCAGTTGTTACAAAGTTAAGGAGTTAATTATTTTTAAATAATGCAAAGTGTCTGCTGGAGCTGTCTAACGATACATTACAATTTACAGTAGTGAATAGCCTCTGTTTAATAATCGTCTACTTAATCTCTTTTTGTATGTAGCTCTGGCCTGATTTTTTCTTTGTTGTTTCTGGCTGGCTGCTCGTGAACTTAAGTTTTAGTTAGATCTCAGAGCCAGCCTTGGGAATTTAGTAGAACTGGATAGCTGCCTGCCATTGAAGAAAGCTGAAGTAGTCTGAAGGAAGTTAGCTTAGATGATTTCTGTGGCTGTGCACTTGGCTCTTATGGATGTATTGGTTCCACCACAGTAGCACTAAAATCAGGACTCCAGTCGAGATCTCTACAATCTCACTGCGCTTAGTGACATGGAGAAGCTTCACAAGAGATGTTCCCTGCCTCAAGATGTTTAGAGTTTAATTTCAGACTGGATACAGAAAATGAGAGTGAAAAGAAGCAGAAAAGTGCAATTATTGACCTACTTCAAGTTACTCATGCAACCGTTGTCTTATCACTGCAGATAACATTGCTGTTCTCCCACAGTCTGTGGGGTGATGTGCAGCTCCATGTAGGACTTATTTTTATCCTCATACAACAGTCCCTTTACCCTGCTGCATGGAGGTTGGTTTAAAGAGGGTCAGCTAAGGTTTCTCCTGGGATCAGAGCCACTTCTGTCCCAAGCCTCTGGCACAAAAGATGTGTCTGAGCTAATTTCTTGCCAGCCCTCGGCTGCTGGAGTTGTCAGGGAGGGCAGCCAGGTCATTTGAGAGAAGCCACTTGAAGTTACAGTAAAGAATTAAACTCACATTTTGGAGAAGCCAGTTGAAAGAAAACCTAAAATCCTTTTTCCTTTCTCTTCCTGGGATTCCTTCTTCAAATGTAGCTCATCTGACTACTCTTAGGGATACATTCTTCACCACTTTTTTTTTTTCCTGGCATTTGTGATTATGATGACTAAAATATTGTAAAAAATTAATTGCACTTGATAATAAGAAAGTTAAACAGAGCAAAACTGGCATTATGGGTTCACAGGTGTCTGTCTGCCGGATATTGTTGTATTTATCTCTACAGGGCTGAAAATAACAATAATAAAAAATGTATTGTAGTGAAAACCCCACAGTTTTCCTCCCTTCCCTTTTTTTAAACTAGATCTGGATCCCTTTCCACCTGAGGAACGCTATGAGGTTAAAGTGCGAGAAGGTGTTGGAGCAGTGCTTCTTTGTGAGCCCCCTTACCACTACCCAGGTAATTCAGCTCAAAGTGATTAATTTTCAACTGCTTAAGAGTGCAAGACAAGCTAACGTTTATATTTAAAAAATTCATTTAAGTTTACTTAAACAGTAACTTCTATGTAGCTTGAGAATCACTATTAAGGTTAGGTTTCCATTTTGAATACATGCTTGTAGTTGGCCATATGTAAAGGATATTGTTGAATTTGCAAACAGTTTTTGATGTTACAAATAGCGTGACTCAAACTAATCTGAATAATGGAGGGGAGGCTTGGCCTACCATTAAAGACCTGAGTACATGTCATTGTGTCACTATCATCTCAGACTTTCTGCGGGCCCTGTCCAAGGCAAGGGCCTCAGCTTCTCAGTGGGGTCAGAGCAAGACCCAACTGCCTGTCTTCGCCCCCGTCTCTCTGGTTCCTGTGGGAGGGCTGTGCCCAAGGGGAGCCATGCACACAGTAGCTGTATCCACAGTAATCTGCACTCATGGGAGCAGTACCCCGATGTTCAGTGTAGACAGATATTAGTTGGCTGCTGAGACATGCATATTCTGTCTCACATACCTGACTCTCCCAGAGAAAAGATCCATAAGCTAGAAACCAGAGTGAAGTAATTTATATGCAGACAGTATTCCATGGTTTAAGTAGCTAGTAGTATTGTTTTTTAATATTGACTGGAAAATATTTTCCTCCAGATGATCTCAGTTATCGCTGGCTTCTAAATGAGTTCCCGGTATTCATTACTTTGGACAAACGACGATTTGTGTCACAGACGAATGGCAATCTCTACATTGCAAATGTAGAAGCGTCAGATAAGGGCAATTATTCGTGTTTTGTGTCCAGTCCTTCAATAACAAAGAGTGTATTCAGTAAATTTATTCCACTTATTCCACAGTCTGATCGTAAGTATTTCTTGGAAATACTGTGTACATGCAATGTTCTATCCATATTTTAATTTTGCTCATTTATTACTACTTCCAGCTCTGTGAGGAGAATTATGTGGCAAGTTTTAATGGCTACTGCCCAGTGTTATTTAGCTTTCCTCATACAGAGATCCAAATCATTCCAATCCCGAATGAAAACTCTGTGAAGGGAATGTCCCTGGATTCATTCACAAATTTCCTTTCATATCACTGAGAATAGAGTTCTCATCCCCAGAGTCCCCATCTCTTTTATGTGATAAGCCCCTGTACTCATCCTGAAAACTTTAGTATCTTTTCTGGTCTTGGCACTCATTCAAAGGGGTATGACTGAAAAGCAGAAACTTTATGTAAAAGTTGATAAGCAGCTTCAGGAATTATTTTTTTTCCCAGGAAATTCCCCATGAAAATGGAAAATCATTTTCCTCTGGTGAAATTTCTTAACCAAAAGTGGCCTAAGGGCTTTGTGTCTTATGGCCAATCCCCTAAGACACCTATGTGGCTTTGTGTCACTAGGTTGTTCTCTGCCATTTTTTCATAAAAACTGCATGTTTTCCAAATGGTAACCAAGTTCCCTCTTCTAGTGACTTCAGACTGTCAATCACTAGAGTCTCATAAATTGATCATCAGGATTTATCTGTTAAATTTCCCATAATACAGTGAAGAACTGTGATTGAATTTGGGTAATTACAAATCAGTGATCTTTGTCCAAATTTTCCATGGCCAATACTCACACTGAGATCTTAATCTAGAAGAACTGCAAGAGGAGTCCTACAGGGATCACCAGTAGGTAGATTTGATTACATTTGCATCCCTGTGCCCTAATTAAGCTGTAGATTTGCTGGCTCTAGCTCCTTCATGCACTCACTAAGATAATATTGAGCTTAAATTCACAATCATTCAAAATATTCCATCCAATAAAAGCATCTGTGGAAAACAGAGACTGAGGCTTTTTTTCTACCCCCCTACATGGTACACCATCACACTTAAAATGCAAGTAAATGAGTTTATGTTAAAGCATTGTACTATAAAAAATGTTAGGCATTACTGATCAGAGAAAGATAACTAGTTGCTGAGTAAAACAGTTCTGCCTTACTATTAAAAGTTCAGTGCTAAATCATACTTTATGGATGGCCAGGCTATTTATTCACTCTAAAGAAGAATTTTAAGAATAGTTTTCTTGAACTACGGAATTTTTAATAGCTATATTAATTTCTGCTGTGCCTTTTCTGAGAATCTTTTTTCATGGTAGGTGCAAAAGTATATCCTGCTGATATCAAGGTGAAGTTCAAGGACACGTATGCTCTCCTGGGGCAAAATGTGACACTGGAGTGTTTTGCTCTTGGGAAGTAAGTATGTTTTAAAAGTTATTGGAGAGCACTGTTTGCTTTCATATTCCAGGGAATGAAAATACACATTTCATCATCAAACACTTTTTTGTAGTCTGCAATTTAACAGCCAGTTCTTGCTGATTTGTACTTTACTGTACGTTTTCAAGTCCGGTTCCTGAACTCAGATGGAGTAAATACCTTGAACCCATGCCAGCCACTGCTGAGATAAGCATGTCTGGTGCAGTTCTTAAGATCTTCAATATTCAGTACGAAGATGAAGGACTTTATGAGTGTGAAGCTGAAAACTATAAAGGAAAAGATAAACATCAAGCAAGAGTTTATGTGCAAGGTAGGTAGAACAATTTTATTCTTCATGATCTATGTTGCTTTTAATTGTGCTGGAAGTATCTGTGTTCTCACACTTGATGCCAGTGCTGACTCATTGCATCATCCTGACACACTGCTGTTCAAATTCATACAGCAAAATGAAAACTCATGTGCTGAATGCCAGGCATAACATTTGTGTATTAATTGAACAACTACTCAGTTTGTCTGGTTGTGATAGCTGCATATACACCTTGACAGAAATGTATGTTAGCTTCAATATAATTATGCATGATGGAAATTAAATATATTTAGAGTAGTTGAGGTGAAAGAACAGCCAGGGAAAAAAAAGAGACCGTTAGATTTGTTATGCTTTCTTGTTTCCTCACTTAATTTGTCTTTTCTGTCTTAGCTCTCTTATTAGCTACGGTCAATTCTTTGTTCTTTCAGCCTTTGTCCCTTCCCCTCATGCCTTTGGTTAAATGGGGCAACCAAAAATTATATCTTATTGCACACAGTGGAATCATCCCAAGTAACCTGACTCCTTAACTGAGACTTATGCCACAAAACTATGACATGAAAAGATCATATGTAACATTTGAATTATGTTCAGAAGATTTTTGTCTCTTTTCATTGACAGTACATAACATTTCCTGAATTAAGATCCTCAGTTAAGTGCTTGAAGTTCAGTGGGATAAATTCAAAATTTGTGTGGGAAGGTTGTTACTGGTTGTTATAGGTAAAGCTAATGAATAGGTTCATTCGCTTAGTAAAGGCTGGGACATTTTCAGTATTAATTTCTTAAATATCTTCTCTGTACCAAGATAATTTTTTTTGGAGAACCTTTCAGTACATAGATGACTGCACAGTTTCATGTAAATTAACTGTCATTTTTATGGCACTACGGAATAATTTCCACAGGTCATTGTAAGCAGTAACATCCTGTATCTTTGGAAATCCATGAAGCATTATTTCAGTTCCATATTCTCTTCTCATAAAAAATAGTTTGATATTATTTTGAGTGTATGTGGTAAGACAAAAACATCTGCATTTCATTCTTTCTTGTGCTGGTGCGTTGCTGAGTTATCATCATTACTTCATATGGCTTCTGAAGTATCATGGAAAAAGCAGTAGAATTAATAGATTGTAATGCTAATTAAATATGTATCTGCTATATTTACAAGTCATCACATTTTTTATTCTTCAGCCTCTCCTGAGTGGGTAGAACATATCAATGACACAGAGAAGGATATAGGCAGTGACCTATACTGGCCTTGTGTAGCTACAGGCAAGCCTATTCCAACAATTAGGTGGTTGAAGAATGGTGTTTCGGTAAGTATATTGCCATAGTCAACACAAGATTGATTGGTTAGCTGATGGAAATTATTTTTTGAAGCACAAATTATTAAAACATTAAAAGAAAATTAATTATAATGATACAAGTATTTCCTGATTCCACTTGCATTAGGGATTAAAATCTATTTTTTAAAGTTTTATCTCAATCTTCTTGGCAGTTTCGAAATGAATTTCTTCAGGCTATTACATATTCAACTCTGAGTTACGAACTTGCCTTTTTACCACGTTTGGGAGGTGGATATCCTTTTTTCTCCAGGCTTTTATGAGTAAATGCTATGTTCTTCTCCCTGGATAAAAAATGTCTATCAGCTTCTCTCTAAAAATAATCCCTTTTACCACATTAAACATGAGTGCATCTAAAAATGTAAGAAAAAATTTAGTAGAGACAAGAGAAGAAAGAATAATTGTTAAATTATCAGTGGTGTTCCTATACCATGTACTTTATCATATTTTTTCTAGCCACAGAATATTGCAAAATTCCATTATTTTCAATGATGTGAAGTTTAAATGAGTGTCATTTGATAATTTAAGTTTATTGCATTGGATATTTTATTTAAATTAAGTAGATTTTCTGTCCAGACATTTCAATAATGTATTTAATATCCACTGCTTAAGCTGTATGATGAGCCATTAAAGAACAAAGAGAATAGAAGAGGGCACAATGTAACACTGCATCTGTTGAGCTGTGGTGACATTGATCTTGGCAAGCAAACAAAAAACAATGAGGCAGTGTTGCTTTGGCTGTGTATCTTAAGAAAAATGTGGGAGGTTGGAGGGAGGACAGGGATATCACCATCTGCCATATGGAGATGGCTTAAACCAGAAAAAACAATGCTGTTTCCTAGCTTCTGTAGTTACTACAAACAAGTAATTTAGCAAGCAAATTGCTTGACGGTCCCCACTGAACTTGACTCTCACTGACAAGATCTGCGTACTGGATTGCAGAAAGTGATGTGTAGTTCTCCATTAGTACACCATTGGTTAATATGATGACATGATTTCCAAATGGAAAATAATTAAATTGTCATGAGAATATAGCTTCTTTCCAAATCAGATATTTTTTAATTAGGCATTTCACTTAGCACAAAACAAAGATTTCTTGTAGTAAAGCTAATGTAAATGTTTTTCAGTAAAGCAGTACAAGAAATATTAATCCTTCAATGTATTCTTTTTTCAGATACATACATAGGATTCTTTTAATCTTCCACTACTCCATGCGCTCCGGTTGACTCATATACAAAGTTCAAAGCTTTTCAGCTTCATTTTCACAAGAAAACAGAATTTATTAACACGATATTTCAGAAACCAATTGATATTTACTTGTAATTTAGAAAATACCCTACCACAATTTGTTCATTTTATACGTTTTTTTAGAAATAGGTCAAATACTTCATTTTGATAATTTTATTTTTATATTAAAACCAAATAATAGAAAATAGTTTATGCTACCTCCCAGAAGAATCTTCTGAAAAACTACCTCATTGGGACTTTGTTTTTTACTGTTGTAAATCGTTGTACATACAATATAACATACTGAACACTTAGCATGGTAAAAAAAAGCTTATGTGCCTAAAATTAATTTAATTTCTTGTTTCTTATTTCTGAATAAGTAGTGTTTGCATTGGTATGGTAACAGTAGATTGAAGGATAGATGTGTCTAGTGCCACTCAGCTATGAATTTTCCAGAAAAATATCAATCAATACTGAATCTTTCTTTAAAAAAAGATGAATGCATTGTCATAAAGACTGAAATGTAACATGGATAAAATAAAATCTCTCTGGCGCCTGAATGTTTTCTGAGGGACTCTCTTCTGAACATTGTCACTAAAAAAAAAAAAAAAAAAAAAAAAAAGAATGTGGATGGCTATGAATTCTTCAGCATACATAGTCTATATGAATATCTTGTTGTTTTATTGATTCTGTGTTTCAGTTCCGGAAAGGTGAACTAAGAATGCAGAGTCTGAGCTTTGACGATGCCGGCATGTACCAATGTATAGCAGAAAACGCGCATGGAATTATTTATGCAAATGCTGAACTGAAGATTGTGGGTCAGTGGGATTATTTGCTCTATTTACTATTTCAGGAATGACTAAGATAGCAGTCATATTTGCAAGCATTGTTTGGTAACAGATTCCTGTGAGGATAAAGCTAAGAACCTCCACTGGATCTTGGTGAGGTGGGGTTTATTTGAGCTCCCTAGCTGCGTTTTGACAACAACTTGAGGAATCAAGTTGAGGAATTTATGAGGAATGTTTGCTGTATTATTTCTGATGTTTGCTAGCTGCTGTTACCCCTCAGAGGAACTGTTAGCGCAGAAATTCTATGAAGCACATACAGTTGCTGGCTCCCCCCTCAAGCTTGCAAAACTGATTGAGAAGTGTTTTCTTTTTTGCTCACCTATGCTCACTCCTCTGTGGGGCAAAATCTGCTATTTAGAAACTATCTTGTCAGTCACCAAGCCTTTGAAGCTCTTCCTCTTCACTCTCACCTTTGCTTTTGCCTTGTACAAACAGTTCAGACCAGCTGCAATATTTGTGAGCAATATAGATGGCTGGATATAGATATTAATCCTTTTTTTTCCTAAAGAACACCCTGTTGAAAGTTTGCCTTTCAGATGCAGAGTGCTCAGGCTTAAAACAATCTGACATTTTACTGATGTCATTAGAGCACTTGTACTCGCTGTATGACATAGCTTTCCTAGGAGATTTCCTGGGTTTTTTCCAACCTCATGTTTTCCTCCAGACTTTCCCAAGAGCTAAACTATTCTTGAATTCCCCAACCCGTTGCACAACAATATTTGTCCTTCACTATTCTTCCATTACTATGTACTCACTAGCAGCCCAGATTACCCAGAAAGGAGCACTTTTTGCATGCATGTTTTTAAAATTCAGTGTTGGTAAGGTGTGGATGTTTATCAGAGTTTTTCTCCATACCACTGTGATTAACTAGCAGCCCTATTTCCTCAATCTATGCATGCACTTGCTGTCATGATTAACAAAGATGGTATGCTGGAATGCAAAATAATTAAAATTTTTTTTTATTTTATTACAAATAAAGAGAAAATTAGTAAGCAAAGGTCTGATCTCAGATACATAAGTGTGGTGCTTGCTACAGGTATGTCTCATTACTCTTGTACATCTGAGAATGCACCTAAGGTCACCTGGCCAAACAGAAGACTACAAAGAGGAAGAAGGGCACAACATTAAGGTTGCTAGAGGGGGGTTAAAACCACTGAAAAGTAAACCCAACTGTTATTTGAAAGTATGATCGAATGAGAAACTTTTTACAGAAGTTGAGCTCTAGGAATCTAGATTTTATTAGGAGTGATAAAAAGGCCTTTGAAAGGGAGGAACTTCCCATTGATTTCTGGGGACTTTGATCTTGTTACATTAAATTTAGATGGAGGTTCAGAGGTAAACAGAAGAAACATCTAGTGCAACACAGCATGGAACTACATAATGATTTTTAGATGACCATCTACTTCTCACCACATCTCTGTATCATTATTATTTTCTTACTGGTCTGAATAATGGACACCTGTATACAATTCGATAGTTCTGTTGCAAACAAATTGTATTCTGCCAAAAAATCACTAACAGCAGTATTCATGTTAATTTTCGATTTCAGCTTCACCTCCTACTTTTGAACTGAACCCTATGAAGAAGAAAATCCTAGCAGCTAAAGGAGGCCGTGTAAAGATTGAATGCAAGCCTAAAGCTGCTCCTAAGCCAAAATTCTCCTGGAGCAAAGGAACAGAATTGCTTGTAAATGGGAGCCGGTTAGTATTGGCTGTTTGTGGACGCTGTGAATCCTAAAACTGCTGCCTTATGTTTCTGTTTATCCTGTGGGCTAGTTCTCACTTTTGCAGAAGTCAAGGGCAGGAGAATGTGTAATTCCAGGAAAACGATATGCCTGATATGTTAATTGCAGTGTGGATCCAAATAGCTAGCAGAGTATCCAATTTTAACCAGGCTGTTTGGTGCTGTTTACATTTCAGAATTGAATTATATCACAAAACTATAAGAAAAATACTGGAATGACTGCAAGTGAATGAAAGTACACTCTCTTGCTCCAACACTGTGAGGCATCTAATCATGACACAGCTTATTTAGATGTTATCCCTCAAGCCCAGTTTAAGGACATCAGTAGGAAACTTCTTAGCCTGGTATGGCCCTTGGACTGCTACCCGTTACTGCTCTTCCATGTTGGTGGTGATGAAACCACAACGCATAGTCCAAGGGCAATCAAAAGAGACTTCAGGGCCTTGGGATGTTTGGTAAGGGAGTGTGGAGAACAGGTTATTTTTTCCCCTCTCTTTCCAGTTGCGGGCAGTGACATTGGAAGAAACCGACAGGCTCAGTCTATTAATACATGGCTCTGTGGCTGGTGCCATCACCACAGTTTTGAGTTTTTTGATAATGGGATCACCTACAAAGCACTAGAATTGCTGCCATAAGATGGGATTCACCTTTCTGAAAGGGGGAAGAAGGTGTTTGCCCACGAGCTAGCAGGGCTCATTGACAGAGCTTTAAACAAGACTTGAAGGTGGACGGGGATAATATCAGCCTTGCCGGTAACAAGCTGTGGGATAACACATGAAGGTTAGAGGGACAGGATGCTAGCAAGGGCCCTCAGCCAGTTGCTCTGAGACTTGCTAGGTACACTGGAGCAGTCTTATGGAGATGAGCCAGGGGCTCCTGAGTTAATAGGAGCAAACACAAATAAAATACCTCAAAGGAATTAAGGAATGTTTCTCTAAGAAGGTGACACAGCCAACAGCCTAACTGAAGTGCCTCTACACCAATGCATGGGCAACAAACAGGAGGAGCTGGAAGCCACCATCCTGATAGAAAGGTACGACCTGCTTGCCATTGCTGAAACCCAGTGGGACAAATCTCATGACTAGAGTGTGGCTGTTGACGGCTACAGGCTGTTAAGAAGGGAGAGGCGAGGAAGGGGGAGTGGAGGCGTTGCCCTCTACATCAAGAACTGGATAGAGTGTGCAGAGCTGTCTCTGAAGAATAGCCATGAGCGGGCTGAAAGCTTATGGGTAAGAATTACAGACCGAGGCAACAAAGGGAAGCTTGTTGTTGGTGTCTACTACAGACTGCCTGATAAAGGTGAGCCTATTGATGAAGCCTTCTTACTCCAGCTACAAGAGGCATCATTGTCATAGGCTTTTGTCCTGCTGGTGGACTTCAACCACCTTGACATCTGCTGGAAAATTTGGACAGCAAGCTCTAGGCAATTCAGGAGACTCCTGACATTCTTAAGCCAGCCCTACCAGAGGGGATGTGATACTTGACCTGTTGGTCACCAACACAAGTGAGCTAATCAGTGACATCAAGATTGGAGGCAGCCTGGCCTGCAGAGTGATCATGCACTGGTGGAATTCACAGTCCTGAAGGATATGGATCAGGGCCTTGAATTTTAGGAAAGCAAACTTCCAGCTGTTCAAGGAACTAGCCAATAGGAACCCCTGGGAAACTTCCCTCTGGGACAAGGGAGCAGAACCAAGCTGGCAGATCTTTAAGGATGCTTTTCATAGAGCACAAGATCTCTTGATCCCCAGGTGTAAGAAATCAGGAAAGGAAGGCAAGAATCTCTTGATGGGCATGGCTGAGTCGAGATCCACAGGTCAACCTAAAGGACAAGAAGGAAATTCACAGGCTGTGGAAGCAGGGACAGGTATGCTGGGAAGAGTGTAGGGGCACTGCCTGATTGTGTAGGGTCAGGAAGGCCAAGATGCGTCCGGAGCTGAACTTGTCAAGGGATGCAAAGAATATTAAGAACAGTTTCTACAGGTATGTCGGCCATAAAAGGAAGATCAAAGAAAGTGTAACCCCCTCATGAGAAAGACTGACAAGCTGGTAACAATTGATGAGGAGAAGGATGAGGTACTCAACAATTTTTTTGCCTCAGTCTTCACTGGCAACCTCTCTTCCCACAGCTCTTGAGTGGATGGACCACAAGATGGAGACTGGGGGAGCAAATCCCTCCCACTGTAAGAGAAGATCAGGTTCATGACCACCCAAGGAACCTGAACATATGAGACCTGACCAGATGGATCCCAGAGTCCTGAGGGAATTGGCTGATATAGTTGCCAAGCCACTCTCCATGACATTTGAAAAGGCATGGCAGTCAGGTGAATTCCCTGGTGACTGGAAAAAGGGGAACATTGGACCTATTTTTAGAAAGGGTAGAAAGGGGGACCCTGGGAACTACCGGCCTGTCAGCTTCACCTCTGTACCTGGGAAGTTCATGGAACAGATCCTCGTAGAAGCTATGCTAAGGCACATGGAGGACAGGGAGGTAATTTGAGACAGCCAGAATGGCTTCACCAAGGGCAAGTCCTGCATGACCAACCTAGTGGCCTTCTATGATGGAGTGACTACATCAGTGGACAAGGGAGGAGCTCCAGATGTCATCTGTCTGGACTTCTGTAAGGCTTTTGACACAGTCCCCCACAACATTCTTCTCTCTGAATTAGAGAGATAAGGATTTAATGGGTGGACTGTTTGGTGGATGAGGAATTGGTTGCACGGTTGCATCTGGAGGGTAGTGGTCAACAGCTCAGTGTCCAGATGAATACTCGTGATGAGTGGTGTCCCTCAGGGGTCTGTATTGGGACCAGGACAGTTTAATATCTTCATCAATGACACAGACAGTGGGATCGAGTGCATCCTCAGCAAGTTTGCAGATGACACCAAGCTGAGTGCTGTGGTTGACATGCCTGAGGGAAGTTGGACGGGATATCATCCAGAGGGACCTGGACAAGCTGGACAAGTGGGCTTGTGAAAACCTCATGAGGTTCAACAAGGCCAAGTGCAAGTCTTGCACTTAAATCAGTGCAACCCCTGGTATCAATACAGACTAGGGGAAGAAGGGTTTGAGAGCAGCCCTGAAGAGAGGAACTTGGGGGTACAGGTGGATGAAAAACCAGACATGAGCAGACAACGTGCGTTTGCAGCCCAGAAGACCAACTGTACCCTGGGCTGCATCAAAAGAAGTGTGGCCAGCACATCAAGGGAGGTGATTCTCCTCCTCTACTCTGCTCTGGTGAGACCCCATCTGGAGTACTGAATCCAGCTCTGGAGTCCTCAGCACAGGAAAGACATGGACCTGTTGGAGTGGGTCCAGAGGAGGGCCACAAAAATTAACAGAGCTGATAGAAGTGCTCTCTTACAAAGAAATACTGAGATGGCTGGGATTTTTCAGCCTGGAGAAGAGCGGGCTCCAGGGAGACCTCATTGCAGCCTTTCAGTACTTAAAGGGAGCTTATAGGAAAGGTGGGGACAAATTTTTTAGCAGGACCTGTAGTGATAGTACGAGGGGTGATGGTTTTAAACTAAAAGAGAGTAGATTAAGAGTAGATATAAGGAAGAATTTTTTTTACTGTGAGGGTGGTGAGACAGTGGAACAGGTTGCCCAGAGAGCTGGTAGATGCCCCATCCCTGGAAACATTCAAGGTCAGGTTGGAGAGGGCTCTGAGCAACCTGATCTAGTTCACAGAATCACAGAATCACAGAATGTTAGAGATTGGAAGGGACCTCGAAAGATCACCTAGTCCAATCCCCCTGCCAGAGCAGGAACACCTAGATCAGCTCACACAGGACACATAGTTCAGTATGTTCCTGCTCATTGCAAGAAGGTTGGACTAGGTGACCTTTAAAGGTCCCTTCCAACCCAAACTATTCTATGATTTTTTACTGTAGGACTGTTTATAAATGCACTAGTCAGATGTGAGCTTCCAAGAGATATTTGTGATTTGTCTCTTCATTTACTACGATTCCTACTGAAGGTATTGCTTTCTAATATAAATAACTAATTTGCTGGGTTTTTTGCACTTTAAATAGCATACGTATCTGGGATGATGGGAGCCTGGAAATTATCAATATCACAAAGCTGGATGAAGGCCGCTACACCTGTTTTGCAGAAAATAACCGAGGGAAAGCTAATAGCACTGGTGTTCTAGAAATGACAGGTAAACCTCTTAATTGCATTAGTTTGTTTCAGGTAGAATCGCTTAATTCAAAGTAACTAATTTTTGCTCTGGCACTGCACTACTTTTGTGAACTATTTTATTTTTTTTCTTTCTAATTTAGTTGCTCATTAAAGAATGAGGTGTGACTTTTCAAGCATACTACTCAGTAGAAACTTGGTGTGTTTGCACTGATGTTAAGATTGTTTCTCAATTTTCAGGGTTGATTTTCCCATAAGAGATTATTAAATTGACACATTTTGATGCATTCATTCAATTTGGGAGTTTAACACTCAGGCTAAGGTGTAATTCTGCAGCCATGACTCAAAGAGAGAAACGGGACTTTTACTTTCTTAGTTTTTCTTTTTTGTTTGGTGGGGGGGAGATGGAAGGTGTTAGCAAGACTGAGAGCGCATTCTGGGGGGGGAGATGGAGGGTGTTAGCAAGACTGAGAGCGCATTGCAGTTAAAGAAACACACATTAAAATGTGTGAGATAGGGGCATGTTACCATATCATTGAACTATTAAATTCCGTTCTTTTATAGGTATTAATATTTACTGATTCTGTACTGGTATTCTTAATTGTATATTTTAAATCTGATGTCAAATAAATAAATAGCTGCAGAATACAGACAGGAAAGATGACATTCACAAACAGCTATGAGTATCAAGTATCACTGATAGTAGAAAAGCCATTTATCAAATACATTTTTTATTGTCTGTTCCAGAAATCATGCTGAATGCCACAATATTGATGTACGAATGTAAGAATTAATCTGTATCATCAGATCTTATGAAAACATTTTTCTATTATACTAAATTTATTGTACCAAATTAATTGTAAGACTTTATTTTGATTCATCAGATTTCTTTAATATTTGCAATTACTTTTTATCATATTCTGCAGTTTTCTACATCTTAATACTAACCTCAGGCATTTAATTATTTTAAAAGGTTATGGAACAAATATCCAGCCTCTTAATAGTTGTATCGTATCTTCTAAAATCAGGAAAAATATTTGCATACTCAATCTGAACAGTGAAACACTTAAACCATATGTTCATAGACCTTGTAAACTAAAGAATTTTAAAATTTTTGAGAATTCTGCTCTGATTCTGATAAAAAGGAAAACCAAAAGACTAAGACATCTTACTTGCATCACAGCAGAAACAGAAGGGTCAAATGACATTTCAAAATTATTTTCACACTTTGATGAGGGTTGACGAAGAATGCCTTGAAAACAGTATACCCAAGCACATTGTGTCGCCCATAAAACTTCTCAGACATTGTGCATGATTACAGGAAGTTAAAAAGTTACATCTGAAGCTGACAGGCACTGCAGAGTCCCATATGCTGTTTGTTCACTGCTGCTGGACTGCTCTTTCAGCAGCTTCTTAGACTGGTAGGGTACTTTATGTAAACATTTAGAAAGTCACTGGTGGTAGAAAACAAAATGCTGGATGTACAGGCACCGCAGGAATCCTAAGAATGTGTCCATAGCTAGGACTATAGACATCAGATGCTAACAGGTTGCTCCAAAGCACTATGAGATACTCCATTGTGCAGAAGCCAGTAATTGTGCCATTCTCATAGTCTCAGTATTAAGCAGGTTTTAGTTTACTAGAGTAATCCTCTAATCCTTCCTTTGGGGAAAGGTTTCTCTCCAAGGCAGATGGACATCAAATGTTGGTTTTATTGAGGATTTTTTGCTATTCTATGTATGGTGGGGTGTCATGTGGTCCTTGGAGCATGCTCAAACCCAGGTCTTAACTAGTAGCTCTTTTCTTATGGCTATTGTCTTCCAGGCTTTGGTCCCTACTCCCACTCTCATATGGGTGGGAAATATATTATACATCATGGCATAAGGAAGATATTCTGTGGCTTTTTGTTTTATGTTAATATTTGAAAGAAAGGGAACAGGTCTCAGTGATCCAGTAAGTCCTTTCCAGAACATGCATATATGAGTTTCATGCACATACCAAGAGCTGGAGCAGGTATTATGAGGTCTCTGCCCTTTTTTCATTTCTGTAATAATACGATATGTTGCTGGGGATATACTGCTTTCTTCCTTTTGATGTATTATTTTCTCTTCCTTTCAACATGTAGCTGTTTGCATAGTTTGTTATGCATCCATTTTATTATTTCTCAGTAAATAAATTAATATCTCAGTTCCTGCAGTGCTCTAATGGAAATCTGACTCAGCCTGACAACTGAGTAGAACTTTCCATTCTTTAAAGAGACAGGTTTTAAAACATAAGAAAATTACAATTAAAACAAGAAAAAAAACATGAGTCACATTAAGATTCATCATCCATCTTCTTTCTACCTGAGATATAGTCAATGGATACAAGTAGCTTTAAATAGTCAGTAAGGTGATTCAGAGACTGAAACATAGCCATTTTCGAAGGAGAGCTTAATAGAAGTTAGGCATTTCAGTTGTAAAAAGTTTCCTTTGTTCTCTTTAGTTTGGTCCTTTGAATGTAGCTGCATGAATAACATGTAAACCGAGTTTGAGGGAGCAGTTTAATGTATAGCCAAACAGTTATGGAGCTGAGCTTACATTTGGATAAACATTTATTTACTCGAATTTTCCATGTTTGCTGTTAACTTCACAGAAGCTACAAGGATTACTTTAGCTCCGTTGAATGTTGATGTCACCGTTGGAGAGAATGCTACCATGCAATGCATTGCATCTCATGATCCCACATTAGACCTGACATTTATTTGGTCTCTAAATGGCTTTGTAATAGATTTTGAGAAAGAGCACGAACATTATGAAAGGAATGTTATGGTAAGATACTATAGATCTTATTTAATATGTGAAAGTCTAGTTTTCTTTATTGTGAATAGCTGTCTTTTCTGGTTTACTTTTTCTGTTGTGTTGGTTCAGGTCTAGAAAAATGCCATAGGCTAACAACATAACATAAAATTACAATTTAGACACCTTACAGACATGTAGACACTTGCAGGTGGATACCTGAAATCAGATATCTAAATTGACGTAAGTATTTTGGTACCTCGGGTAAATCCTGCTCTGATTAATAGTTAATATAGCTGGAAAGTAGGTAGCCTGATTGTAAACAGGGGGCAAATTATCTTGAAAAATGTGCATATGCATTCACTTTTACTTACCCATGTTTTTCTCATTAGCATTTCTGGAATTTGGCACAAGACAGGGCCAGATGGTGGGTAGGAGTCAAGCAGTCTGTAAACACTGAGCAAGAAGAGTTTGTGTGAAGGCTAAACAAGTTAATACAAAGACACTCATTTTGGCACATAGAAAGAGGAATCTTAGACCTTTTATGTTTGCATGTATTGTTATCATTTTACAGTCTCCTGTCAGGCTTATTAAAAATTAAGACCTCAAACAAAAATCCCTCCTGGTTATGTCTAATCACATGGTAATTTACATAATATTCAACAACCTCAGAGTGGTTGCCCACATGTGTGTATATTTATTCTGTTCTCGGTTTAAATGATGCAAAAATCCTCAAACTTAGATACCCTTTTTTTTGTGGTTCTGAGAGGAACTGCAGATGTGGAGAGAAAAGGTTGCTAATGATGCCTTGCCTGTAGTGCCCAGGAACACCCAGGGCCACGCTCAGTTTCAGCTCTGTGTATGGCACATCAAAGTGATGATATAACAGTGCCTCCTGCAGAGTCTTTCTCCTAGGCTGGCAATATTATTTGATTTTCCGTAGACCAAGAGATTTTTTTTCCTCTTTTTCAATATCTGTTTACCTCCACATGAGATGTTTCAAGCATAACCATTTTAGTCTGATTTGGAACAAACCAGTCCTTTGAGGAGTCAGAGTTGCCTCAGTCTGCTCATTTGGTGAGTTGTAAATGTCCGTAAGACACACTGCTCTCTTTCGACGAGAGAAGTCCAACAAGCCAGTAGAAGTATGATAAGATCAGCCGAAGAACATTGAAACCCAAAGAAATAAAGTCTTTTCTGCAATAAACCTCCTGAAAGTTTATATTCAAACTCAGCAGCAGGATACTAAACAGTTTGCAGTGTATGTCATGTTGCCTCAGGAATTACACAGATCTTCACTAGTACGCTAGCATCATTCAAAATATTTCCTACATGTGTTTATTAATTCACTCTTTTGATAGGTTTATGTTTACACTTCGGTACATCATCAGTGCATAGGAGTACCTTGAAAAAGCTTGAATTGCCTCCTAATGGCATTAGTTTGTCGTTAGATAAGGCTGGAATGAGCCTGAGTGCCAGTCAGAATAAGAGCTTAAAGAGTAGAACCACATTAAATATATGCCCTGTAAAAGAGCAAATAAAACCACTCTGGTTTTGTCCAGTTTTATATAGTTGTTTGCTTTTAGCTGCCTGAAGGAAGTCACACAAAGATACTGCGTTCCATGAAACAGAAATTCAGACTCAAAGTGTTGATGAACCAGTGTGGAAGGAAGGTAGCAATGCCTTTACCAGAAGACTTTGTAATGCAAGACTTTCTCCTTCTGTTGGTCATGGGTTGAACGGAAGTTTTTATATCATTGACAGAAACTTTTGGGTTTTCCTCTTAATAATGAAAATAGAAGGAAATAGTATTTTTTTTCTTTTAGGGGAGATTCATTCTGAAATGTAGTCCCAATTTTAGGGCACTTTCTAGCAAAGCACACTCTAGCAAAGATGAAATCTGGGGCCAAATCAGGGCCTCAGTAAGTGTGTAAGGTGTAATTCTCTGTGAAGATTGACTTAATATTTAGGTTCCTGCCCACTTGTTTCATCTTCCAGATAGCCAGTGGTCCTGGATCTCCTGATTACAAATTCTGATTAACTCCACAATATTTCAGAAACTTTATTGAAGTGCTAAAAAAAAAAAAAAAAAAAAAGCCTAGCTTTGCTAGGCTAACTTGGTCTCTGCAGACCTTCTATGGTCTGCAGAGAGAGAGAAGGAAGTGGTTCACTTCATGTGAGTGTTGAAACTTGTGCTCGAAAATTGTCTCTTTCAATAGATGATAGAGTTGGATACTCCATAGGATGCAAAAGTAGCTGAAGAGTGACTAACTCTTAATTCACATAGACAGTTAAGTAGGTTAGATCCAAACACCAATTAACTTAGTTGTCAATGTGTAACTCCATCTTCCTGAGGGATATTTCTTGGCTTGTTGTGTTCCTTTTGCATTTGATCAATACTGGTAGAAATTCTTTTGGCAGGGGCAGCTTCTTGTTTTGTGCTCCTAAGCCTTATTTCTGGGCTTTCAAATGCAATGCAAGTGCAGATAATCTCTCTTCCTCTTCCACAGGCAACTCAGTCTTCTTCATTCAGGACAGAGGGGACAGCAGGATTGAGTCTGAAGTCTGGAATTGTGATTTGTTGTTATTTGGGGTTTCAGCACCTAAGTAATACCGTATGCAGAATTTTTAACAAATTCAACAAATCCCATACAAATTTTTATATAGGATGTAATTAAGAGGAATATGCACTTTCAATATTTCCGTTTCATTCATTTGTTGTTGTATTCTTACATTAAGGGGCTTTTTCCTTTCTGTGCAAGCACAGGGATTTTCTCCTGCCTACCACTTCCATCTCTCTGGCAGTTCCTAGCTCAAGTCACTGGGTGGCAGGTTTGCTCAGGCTTTCTCAGATGCAGAAGAGGTGAGCTCTTGTGCATTAGACAGCAGCAGCGCTAACTGCAGGGCTTGAAGCAGTGGAGTCCCATGCTGCCCCTCAACCCTACACAAACATAAAAGAAAAAAATTTCCATCATTAATATTAAAATTGCTGGATATGTGATGCATGCTCTCTGTGCTATAATTTCCTGTTGCTGAAGAATCATCTGTCTTCCTATCACTATTAATTTAGTGGCAACACAGAACATGGTGAAACTTGATACAGCCAGAGTATTTCAGTTCTCAAAATAATACTAATATTGTTGTCACATACACATAATGGAATGCTAATGAAATTCATGTAAATACCTGCATAAGTCTTCCTTCTTTAAATGGAAGATTTGGTATCTCCATCATTTGCTGAAGGCAAAACTAATTTGCATTACATTAGTACTAAAACTCATTTATCAAAACAACATTTGTCAGTTCTGGTTTGATTTCCTTTGACAGTGATATTTAAAATGAAACAAAAATATACATTTGTTGATTAGCTTTCAAGAGTCAAATGGAGTCTTCAAAATCTTGCCATTAAATTGATCAATTTCGACTTTATGTATGGTTGTTCTCCTGATTATTTGATTGAGGAACTGGACACTGACACTTCCTTTCAAGTCCTGTAAGGATATAGCACTTCAAGTAATCTGTAAAACTCTAATCTTTGGTCATTCGTTATTTGTGGATCTGCTTTTTATCCTGTATATTTAAAGACTGAAAAGCTTACTTTTAATATATATTTTTAAAAAGTATACACTATCCAAATATGTGTTTTCTTTTGAGTTTATTACAAAAAACTCTCTTTAATATTTGAAGGTGTGTAACTTTTTTTTTGTACTTTTGGAGCCATACTAGTCCATTTGTATGGATAGTAAGGAAGAAAAACTCCATAATTTAACTGTTTCACAGTAGAAACTTGTACTTAGGAAGAGTCCAAGTGTAGGCTGTAATAGTCTTAGTCACATATAGTCATGCATAGATTTAAAAATACTTCTCATACCATCAGTTGTGTTTGCTGCATTATTTATTAGTTGTCTTAAACAATATCAGTGAACCTGAAACCCTGATATTTTTCTCGTCATTGTATCTTTAGTAAGTTAAATTAAGTTGCCGTACAAGTGTTCAGGAACTTGGCCTGCTTGTAAATAACTTTCTTTTGTAAGAATTAAAAGAAAGAGGAAGTGGTGATGGAAAAATACAAGAAGGCTGGACAATGAGTTTTGTCATAGAGACAGTTAACTCTTTGCTTGCTCACATTTTCTCATATTAGCAGTGAGATCAAAAGAACATAAGGAAAAAATGTATCTGGGTACTTGACAACCTTTCACACATACCAAAATGCAGGCCTGTATCACCCTATCAAGTAGTATCTGGATCATTTAAGTTTGTAAGTTCTGTTCTTGGTATCTAGTGTGTTTTTTACATCCCACAGAAGGTACTATCCTTATTTTTACATCAGATAGCTTCAAGACTTCATGCTCCACTGTTTGAAATAAGGAGTTAAGGTACTGGACCAAAGCTTGGTACCGGCAAAAATGAGGTAATTTTAGAAAGTGTATCATGGAACTTTATGCTTCGTTCTTTCTAATTTCCATTCTCAGGCCAAGAAAGATGTCTTTACTGATGCTGGGCATAGTATTGCACTCAGCTAAAAAGGTCTCACAGAATGAGGAGCTGACACACCTCAGTGTCATGACTGCTGCTGAGCAGGAACAAAAAGTGGCTGAATCCATGGCATGCTTTCCGGTGTTTATAGGTTCAGGGTCGTGGCACAAAGGCAGCCAAACATGTTCAACACAGAACTTGCAGGGCTTGTAGCTCAGGCTCTCTTCAGCTTTGAAGCCACTACTGAATCCAAGCTGTCTGTGTATAACTTGTTCTGGTGTCCCTGCAACCATCATACAGCTAACCTTCAACAGTGTGGACTTCACTGTATTCTCAAAAGCTTTTTATTCTTTATGCAAATATTATTCATCTTACTTTATCCCTCTCCAAAGTACAGAAAGCTTTGCAGTGTTCTAGGACCACATTCATAATATTCTGGAGATGTGTGGCCAGATGGTTACTTTACATTCAAGTAAATCACACATGGAAGGGCCTATTTCTTTGCTTTGACTGTGAAAGGTGGTTAGTTCAGGTACCAAAAATCCACGCTACAGATG